TGACCGATATATACACACGTATATGAATGAAAAAACACCTTTTTTTTATTGACACAAAATACAATTATTGTGTGAGAAAAAAAGAGAGAAGGGGCGAGTGAAGAGAGAGGAAAATAAGGGTTTTTTTTTTTTGGTCGCTATGATAGGAAAGCAAGGATTTTTGGTGCAAAAATATTATGATTTTTTTCTAATATTGATTTTTGAGTACTATAATCACAAAGAATTGCGAGTGTTCAAGTAGGCTTTATAGAAATAAGGAGATTTCGTACATTCCAAGCTTTTATGATGAGAAGAATTTAGCTAAAGAGATAATTTGTATTACTACTAATATTGTTGCTTCTTAAGTTCACAAAAAAACTTGAGTGATTGCATTGCTTTCTTAATGATAGTGAATTATTTCAAAATTGATCTCGAGATTTTTTTTCTTCTATGATAGAGAAGGTTTTCCATAAAAATTTGATGTTCTTGTGATTTTGCTCTTGTCATTGATTTATTTTATGTTATTTATTTTTCTATGTATTTAACTTGATTTTTTTTTATAAAATCTAATTTTCATAGAATGGAATTAAATTTCCAAAACTCTATTATAATGGATCAAAAAATAAAATAAATATATTGTTAAGTGTAAGTAAAATGTTAGTCAATAAGCAAAATATTTATCTCTTATAAACTCAACTAACAATATTCTTTTATCTTTGTTATGGAGTTAGATAAAACAAATAGGTGGGATATTGTTTACATTCAAAATAAATATTTTAAAATTAGTGTTAAATTTAATTTATCATGGGTAAATTCATTTTTTGAAAAAAAGAACTAATTAATTTAATTCTAAAAAACAAAGGGACTAATTTATAGCTTACTCACTACCCAAAAAAAAAAAAATAGCAATTTAGTGACAAATATTAGCGATGGATTAAAATCAGTAACTAAATAGCAATAGATTAAAGAACGATTTTCAAATATGGGATTTAGTAATGGATTACCGATTAAATTATGATAGATAGTCAATAACGGATTTGGTCCATTGTTAAATATGATGGTTAAATATGATGGTAAAATATTTCCGAGTTATTTCAGCCATGGAATTACAAACACATTCCACGATGGATACTCCAATCCGTTGCTATTTTAAGTTTTTCATTCAAGTTCGGTTAGAGAGAAAATATTTTGCCACTAAATCCTTGATGTTTTCACCAATCGGTGATGGATTCCGTTCATCGCTGAATCTACCAATAATAGATATAAATCATGTCGAGTCATTTGCTACTTTTGATAAAAGAGGCGATTGTTTGAAATTCAAAATCAACAATAGAGTCGCACCCGTCACTAAAATTAGATCCCTAAATTTACAAAATCTCTTTTCTTTCGTCATTTTCTTCTTCTTTCTTCCTCTTCTCCTCTCATCGCAGCCACTTTTCAGCCTCATTGTCACATGTAACACCCCTCAAAACACCTCACAAATACTACTCCTCCACTCCATCAATCTCCAACCACTCCAACCATCTTCTCTCCCAAAATAGCCACAGTTCTCTCTCTCTCTCTTAGGTGTGCTTCGTCTTATACATCGCTCTCTCTTTCTCTACTAAAAGAGAAGCTAATTAGGTATATTTCTTTCTTTAAATTCATATTTTATATTTAATTTGAGTGGGTTTTGTGTATTACATACTCTTGATTTTGTTTTTTTTTTTAGGTGTTTGAAATTTTACCCATTTGTATATATGTAATTAATATTACTAAATATATTAAGAAACTCAATTTATGTTATTTGAAATTTAATTGAGCATATTTTTAATTTATTAGAACTATTTTGAATTAATTAGGTTTGGGTGTTGATGAATTAGGATAAAATTTTGAATATGTTAGACATATAGGATGCTCCATCTCATAGATTGAGCATGCTTAATCGATAGTAAATCCTACTATCAATTTTGTTATAAATTAATATTTGAATTTATTGTAACTTTATTACATCTCATATTGTTTATTTCTACTTTTTTCAAGCTAAGGAGTTAGGTCAAGACCCGGATCCTTGCGAGTTATTTAGGAGGACTCACATGTGCCGGGATGGATCGTTCGTCGATCCACAATCATACACGATTAGGTAAATTTTTTTATTATTTTAATTATACATATGCAAATTTAATCAAAAAAATTATATTTATGATTTAATTTTTTAATTTTTTTTATTGTATAAGAGTGCATGGATGAATTGTATGCGTTAGTTACTAACCAGCGAGTCGAAGAGTGATTCATCATCTACAAACGTTGACATGTCATAGACATATCTTGAGGTTGTAGGAGGAAAGAAGAAGTGAGAGTGTACAATATCGAGTAACATGTGTGCTAGTATTACTTACATTCTAACAACGACTCATCCTTTGTCACATCTCGGTTCCCTTGTTGTATAGAGCAGGATCATGCGTAGTGCCAACAAAAGTCGAAGGACATACAATGTGACTATAATCGACGGATCCAAAAAGTGGAGAACAAATACAAGGCGAGAAAACCAGCTTATCAAGCGATCGATGCAAAGGATGGAGCAAATGTTAGAGGAATTAATCCGAGATTGCGTCCCTCCTTCCCCTACCTAAGAGTTTGTTTTTCCTCCTAATACCCAACATCCGAAAGATGAAGTAGCAAATGATTTTGATGGGACTATTTTTCTTTGAAATTATTATTTTTAATGTGTTCCTATACCGAATTGTAAGTGTGTGTGTGTGTGTGTATGTGTGTGTGTCCTTTGATTTTATATTCATTTAATATTATACAATAATATTTCTTATTATAATTTTAATTTTAGATGTTGACTAGTTCAATGAAATATTTAAAAACCTATGAAGAATAACCAAGGACGGAAACGAGATATAAAGATTAAACGCAAGAATTTTCGAGAGATGAAAGAGTGTTTTTGTTCCATGTTTAAGATGGAGATAACGAGAGAGATGAAAATAAGTGTTTGTTTCATTTTTGGAATGTGTTTATACATTAAAGTGGTATTTTTGGTATTAACTTTAAATTAGACTATTCCATCAAGAATTTCAACGTGGGTGACTAAATGACTAGTTTTTAAAACCAAAAAGACTAATTAATCTGTTTCTCTAAACGAGAAGAACTAAATTATATTTTACTCATGATATGCACTTTTAATTTCCAAGAGCGACTCAATCAAATTAGGACTTAACAAAATTAGACTTGGCAAATTATGCCTCTCAACCAGACATCTACGAGGCATGTACCAGTAGTTCAAATTTTTTATACCCCTCTAAGAATAAGGATTTAAGGTGAAAATTAGAAGTATTTAAGGTGAAAATTTTCAATTTTGTCAAAATACATACATATCAAATTTAGTCACGTTAGTAATTCGAACAACTTTAAATTTTTATTTTTTATTTTTTTATTCATGGGAGATCATGAGTCCATTTTGAGCTACACAATAAGTATACCTCTTCCTATTATATACATACTAAAAAAAAAAAAAAAAAAAAAAAAAAACTTGAAATCATCAATATTCAAATCTTATTTTACTATTTAAAAAAAAAAAAAAAAAAAGTTAACTCAGTACACTGCTAAGCTGTGGTACAATATACAAGTCAACGTAAAAACTTCAAATTTCTCATACTCAATATTTTTCTCATTCATTTCAATTTTTCCATAATTATATTGTGGAAAACATTGGGTTAGAAGATTTGCCTAACTCGACTGTGACTGGAAAAACTAATATGCTAGAAGTTTTGGCAAACTCGACCGAGGTAAATGAAAAAATTGCGCCTTCAAATTTAAGTGAATTTCTCAAAGTCTATTTTGGCCTACTTTCGTTGGTATGGACAGCTTCGATTTCAATTTATTCTTAATTTCTGAAAGTCTATTGAGTGGATATAATTGTTTGTGGACCACAATTTTACTTTTTTGATGGATCAAATTGAATGGTTAATATTTAACTTTGGATGATCTTCCTATAAGAAACATGGACTTTTTTTTTATGAAGAGTGATTTTTTCTTCTATTTTTTATATAATATATCTATTATAGTGGATCAAAGAAGAAAATAAATATATTTTTAAGTGTAAGTAAAATGTTGGTCAGTAATGACAATATTTATGACTTATAAAACTGAAGCAAAAATATTCTTTTATCTTTTTTTCTTTTTTTTTTAGAGTGAGACAAAACAAATATGAGAAATATTGTTTACATTCAAAATAAAAAAATTTAAAATTAGATTTAATTTTAATTTATTCCCAATCAAATTCAAACAAAAAAAAATCCATTCATTCATTTCTAAAAAATAGAGCGATTAATATATAATGTACTCTTGAATTGAAATGTAAAGATAGAAATTGAGTAATAACAATACTGAACAATAAATATGTTTTTTCGAAGAAAAAAAATCTATATTTTTTGGAATTTCAATTTTTTTTATTTTATTTTGTTTACCGACAGAAATTTTAATTATTTATAAAAATACGTACGGACTAGCAGAATAGCTGCCACTTAATACTCATACAAAATTAACTACCAACTAGCCCACTAAGGACAGAAGAAAACGAAGATTAAAACAAATCATTTCGTGTTGAGGCAACTTTAGTAGCTGGGGTCGACACGTTAATTAGATTGAGACTAGCAGAATAGCTGCCTCTTTTTTCAGAAAAAAGATAAGCAGGATAGTCATGTGAATTCATCTATGCATTAGCAAGTCATCATTTTTTTTTTTTAATATTTGTTATATAGATATGAATCCAAATTTCTTTTGGCCAGTTATCGTAAATGTATTTATAAATATATGAAGCAAATTAATCATCAACTTTCGACCTAAATAATTATTCACTGACCTGAAAATGATCATGGTGCCTGCATGTCATAGACTATAAGAAAATCAAGAACCAATCTAGCCATTTATTTTAAACAGGAAAAAAAAATACATGTCTGCACTTACGAAAATGGAGTTACAGTGAAAAGACATCTAACGGACAAAGTGAGCAAATCGATGGAGCTAATGATAACAGCTTAAGCATATTTATTTGCTATCTCTGAGAGGCAATGGAAGAGTTCTTTTGGCTTACAAAACATAGGCATATGGTCTGCACCTTTAATTTCCATAACTTCTTCAACAGCACTGTTTTGAATCATCCAGCGTTGAAACTCCACTGGTATGGCTAAATCTTCATCGCATACAACAAATACTCGTGTGACTGAACCATACCCCTTAGTGGAGAAATCATCTGCCTTTGACAAATCATACAGAAACAGTGATCCTGGCCTTAACAAAGTCTTGGCCAGCTCAAGATCCTTAAAAAAAATATGCAAAATTAAGGCATGTTTAGTAATCTTGTAAAACCTGGTTCTTGCTAGTTAGCTTAATCGATAGAAGTGATTAGAAGTTTTTCTAACTTGAGAAGAGTAAATCTGTACCACATTTACATGGTCCAACTAATGTAATCGTCAAAAGCACGAAAGAAGAAAAAAGGACCATGTGAATTGTCATGTTACATAGTCCAACTAATGTAATTGTCAAGCTGAAGACGGTGACAAGAAAGGTACCTCAGTTGGGCTTAATTGATACAGCTTGGACGACAAGAATTTGGGTCCAAAAAACATGGTCGTGAGATGCCGTTGAGAGTTGCTGTATGGTAAAAATTGAGTGTCCAACCAGTCCTCTGCTGGGGTCCTTTCGTTATACTTTCGGTGTCAAGCAAATAAATAAATAAATAAAAGAAGAAGACGAATCAGAGAAGAAATCAACTTCAGATGGAACTGATCTTTTCAAATTACACTTGAAAGGATTTTTTTTTCGTTTTTTTCAATAAAGTAGTACCTGTTCCAAGACAAATGATGGCTTGTGAGTGGTATCCGGCATGAAAGCAGATAAGAAAACAGCAACAGCAATCTTCTCCGGGAACTTTTCCATAGCAAGAGCCAAATTCAAGCCTCCTAGGCTGTGCCCTACTAGAATAACCTTCTCATTTAGCTGTAGCGAGGCCAGCAGCTCTAACAAAGGCTCTGTGTAATCATCAATTGTTTGAACATCTTGGATTGCCTTCATGTTGATGCCTGAAGCAGCTAGGTCAAGCAACGTGACCCGGTTACTGGTGGACTCAAGCAGTGGTTTGAGCTTGTGCCAACACCAAGCCCCATGGCAAGCACCATGTACAAGCACAAAGTGTTTCTGATTCTTGATCTCTGCCATTGTTGTTTTGATCAGGGCATGCACTATTTGCTGCCCAATACATATATAAAGTGGCTAGCTAGATACCCTATTTAATACCCCTAGAGAGGAAGAGAAAGTTCAGAAGTGGAATAAATTATAAACCAATCTTTTTAGTATACCAAAATGAATTAAATATATATATATTTTAATTTTAAAGACTATTAGATGAGAGACTTTATTAATTTTCGCCTGATATATCTGTACATACTTTCTTCTTTTCTCTTTTTTTATCATTTTTTTATATTTTTTTAAAATTTTTTTATTATTATTTTAATAGCTAAGGAGCATTGTTTAGCAAAGCACACAAACATTTGTGCCATATGTAACGTAAAAGCAACAAAATACATGTTTATAAGTTGGTAGTATAAACAAAGTAGCTTCTCAAAAAAAAAAAATAATAATAAATAAAAGAAGAAGAAGAAGAAGCTCAACTGCATGATTAAACAGGAGAAAAGAACGACCGTATGCAAACCTTGGCAAAAGGCAAAAGATAAAAATAGTTACATAATTAAAGAGCCTGGTAATTCCACCAAGTGTAAGTGTGCCAATATTTTTCAAGTTGGGTTTTTTGTGCTTGCTTATGACTGGTGGACATCTTATTCCATACAGCTTGCAATCCAAAGGGATCTGACCTCAGAGTTTATTTAAGGTATTTTGTTTAAGATTTTAATGGGTTTCTTTTTTTTTTTTTTATGCCGTTACTTGTTAATTTTTTTTTTTTTTGGTTTGATTTTAATGGCTTTATTTGGAGGCTTTGGACTTTGTCATGTTCCTATTAGGACTTGATCAAACTCATCTCATTTTTCAGGTTACTAATCCTACTTCTAACTTTTAAGTTTTACTATAGAGTTAGACAGTTCACAATAAGTTTAAATTGCATAGACCCCACAATAAGTTGTGTGCAAGGCCTGGAGCTTCCCACATTTTCAACGTTGTTAAGTCTTTCTTCTGACTTTATCTATCAAATAAGTTTAAACTGCATAGACCTAAAGTAAAAGCTAAAAGAAAGGACACATTTATGATTCATATGCAAATTATTGCATCAAATCATTTGTTTCGTTGCTTAAGTTTTCACCCATATTACTCAGCCCAGGAAACAATTGTGACTTGTCGCTGGAGTGCGTATTTGAGTGGTAATTTCCAAGCTCGTATTTTCTTGCCTTTTTTTGTTTTTAACTTGAATTAAGCAGGTGGTTGAGATAACAAAAGAAAGTAAGGTCAAATATGAACTGGACAAGAAGACAGGACTAAGCAAGGTATGAATAATTCTAAATCCATTGAAATTGAAAAAAATTAGTCCTAGATTCTGGACTCTGTAGGAAGTGCTTTACATGGAATTTGCTTTTTTCTTTTTTCTTTTTTTTTTTAAAAAAAAACTTCATTCTATCTGCCATAGCCTTTTGTTTTTTTTTTTTTTCTGTTCAAATGAATGCTTAGGTTGATCGGATTTTATATTATTGTTTTTTTTTTTCACTTTCAAATTGTGCTTTTGATAGGTTCGCAATGATGGTGATGGTTAAAATGCTCCTCCTTCTAATCGTTCACCATAATCAAGTCATCCGTCGAAATGAAACATTTCTATAAAAGTATGAGAGTTTTTTTTTTTTTTTAAACATTAGCCACTTATTTTAAAATGTATTTGGAATTTTGTTTATGTATTTCGAACAAGTGTTTAATCTTTTAGTTTGATGACTTTTTATGTATTTAGAATTTGATAATGACAAATTTAAGAATATTGTGTAAGCTATATAATTTTCTTTTATTTGCATTCAATAAGATTAACTTTTTTTTAATTTATTTTTTATCTAAAAAAAACAAAATAATTGAATTTGAAGATGAAATAAAACTATAATATTAAAGGCGATTAAAGAACTGTCTTTATGAATTTTAAAATCTGCTTCCATGACTTTTGAAAAATGACGCAGCTTACAATCGCCTTTATAAATTCTAGAACTTAGGGCGGTTAAAAATTTTAAACCTTACAACGGTTGTAATCGTCTCAAATATTTTGTGTGAAATTTAAAAAACAAATACAGGAATGTAGAGGCGATTTAGAACTGCTTCAAAAATTAGGTGCTAATAGATATAAAAGATCAAATTCGCATCGTAGAGACGGTTGGAACCGCCTCAAAAAAAATAATTTGAGACGGTTTAAACCGTCTCAATCAACCGTCTCGAATTTCTCGACGAGTTGACAAAACCGTCTCTACATCGTAGAGATGGCGGCATTACAAACAGCTTTTGAGACGATTCAAAAAATCGCTCCTACAATCTGTAGGGGCGGTTATAATCGTTTCTAGAAAGCAAAAAAACCGCCCTTAATACTTGTTTTTTTTATGCAGTGGATATCTATATATTTATCAAAAAATAAAAACAGTAGTCAGCAATAAAACTCACTTCTTTTTCCATCCTTTTCACCTTTTTATCCACCTCTTCGTAATTCTCTTCAAAAAGTTTTCTCTTCTTTCAATAATTCTGTTTAAGAAAGATCGCAAATTTAAAATCTGATGTAATAACAAAAATTAAAAAATTCACACGCACACAGATATATATATATATATATATATATATCAGATAAAAAAAAGATCGATAAATCCAATCATCATCGTCCATCTAATTGTAAAACATAAAATAAATAAAAAATTTACAAAAGAATCTCAAAATACAAATAAAAATGAAAAATGAGAGGCAAAGCAATATCTCACATCAAATGACCAAGAGGAAATGGAGTTAGCTTTCTATATATAATTGATCAGCCACCCGACATATCGAAAAATTTAGGATTGATAGTGCTCTCAAAGTCGTTGATCTGACATAATGAGACTCCAGAAGGTACTCATGGCAACGACCGTCAGCAGGTGCTCTCAAAAGTGATGGACCCAGAAAAACTTATCACCTAAGATATATAAAAACCACTGGCTAATAGTTGTATCAAAAACCATAACAGCGAAAAGCCAATTTTACAAAAAGAGGTAAAAGAAATTACCTAACACATATTCCCTAGGCTCCAAAAGTCAAAAAGAAAAATATAATCAATTGAAAATCATAAATAAATAAACATAGTCAATTAAAAACCAACAAAAAAGAAAACAAAGAAACAAATAAACCTAACCAAAAAAAAAAAAGCATTATGGGAAAAATCTATCCAAGTAAAACTATATTATATTTTTAAAACTAACTTCAGATCAAGTTAATAGATAAAAATAATTAAAAAAAAAACAAAAAACAAAAACTGGTCAAACCCAATTTATGAGAAGAAAAAAAAAAGGAAAAAAGCACGCCTGAGAAAGAAGAACGAGAACCAACTGAACCGAGGTAAAAAAATTGAGAGAGGATTACCAAAAAACAATAGAACAATGCATCAATATCTTCTAGTGAAAGAACCCAAATTGAGCATTAAACAAATCAAGCAACAATTTCTAAACAGCAGAATCAAATGCCCTGTCAAATGAAAAACCAAAAACACCAAAAAGGGTTGAGTAGGGAGGATAAAAACGAAAAAAGAAAAATACAAGAATATAACCTCACAAAAACCCTGGTGGCATAAGAGAAATTATAAATAAAATAGAAGGACAAGAAACAAAAAACTTGGACAGAAAAGAAGAGCATAAAAGAGGAGCCACAAACTCGGCTAAAAAACAAAAACAACAGTCAATACGCTGTGCCATTGAGTCATCGTTGTCGTCATGCATGGTGGGAAAAAGAACAATACCTATCCATCTTGTTTTTATCCTCCCTACTAACCCTATTATTTCCTTCTGTCACGAAACAATTGTTATAATTCTATAATTAAAAAATCAAACCCCTCTCCGTCCCTGATATCCTAAATTCAAAATCTCAAACCTCGTGAAACGAATCTTCAAGAAAATACCTTAAAAACCCTTTTTGTCAAAACACTTATTATCGTACCTTCAATTATTCAATTTTTTTCAACAAAATTTCAAATCACAATCCCTCAAATTACATAATCCAAACTCAAATCTATTTATCTTTTTGTTGATATTTCTTGAAAACACTCTTGGGAGGTTGTTTACTAATTACAATAGGAAAGGATGCCAATGATCGATATTTTTTTATCCCGTAGGCCGTTATTGATAGTGAGAATGGAGAAAACTAAAGATGATTTATGAACTTACTTACAAGGGATCTTGGCATTATTAATGAAAATTCTTAGACAATAATTAGTGACCAATAAAAGATAAGTTTTAAATTTTATTTGTTTAACATTTGTTACTATTTTATTCATCTATGTTATTGGCATGAGTATGTTTTCAAGGCCTAGATAATGATGTATCCGAGTTGATGTCAAATTGTGAGCATAGAAATTGTTCAAGGCACATCTATACAAATTGGAAAAGAAAACATGATGGTAAACTCGTATAAAAAATTATTCTTAAAGGTCTGTAAATGCTACCAATTTGGTGGATTATAATCTCATATTGAACAACTTAAAAGAGGTAGATAAGGTAGCGTTTGATGACTTTGTTAATGTTGGGCCTCCAAAGTTTAGCAAGGCATTCTTAAGGACCAATCTGAAGTGTGATGCATCTACAAACATGTCTAAAGCATTTAATAGCACTACATGCAAGGCTAGAGTAAAGCCACTGATAAATATGTTAGAAGATATTAAAATCTATTTGATGGAGAGGATGTATATAAAAAGTCAATTGATGGAGTTTCTTAGTGATGAAATATGACATAGGATAAGACGAAAGCTGAAAAAATTAAACTCGAATCATGTGCATCTAAAATAGTACCAATTGTTAGTGACAAAGTTCGAGCCAAATTTGATGAGGACATATATGTTGTTAAATTAAAAGAGCATTCATGTAATTGCAGGGATGGGATGTCACTAGTATTCCACACAAGCATATTGTAACAAGCATAGCATTCATGAGAAGTGAGAATGCAGATTATGTTATTGATTGTTTCAAGAAGCAATCAAACATTAGAATATTTTAAAAAGGCCTTGAACCTTTGAATGTGCTGAAAATATGGCTTATTAGTGAAGGTCATGATGTGTTGTCCTTTTTTTACAAGAAAATACCAAGAAAGTCGAAGAAAAACAAAAGAAAAACATAGAGTGAAGAAATAATAAATACAAACAAAATACCCAAGGTTGGAGTTCAAATGCAATGTTAAATATGTTATGCTTATAGCTATAACAAGAGAACATGCAAAAATAAAAAATAAGAGAACTCAAACCCCACTCATGTAAGTTCATGTTTAATTGTGTTTTTCTTATACTTTAAGTTTAGCCGAGTTGGTTTTAATTAATTATAATTTGAATTTATTTTACATTTCCTTTAATTGTAGGCTAAAAGAGGAAAAGAAAGACCTCCAAAGCAATATGCTATAGTTCCCTCCAATTTCATGGGTGCATCAACTTCCAAACCACATCCTACATCTACCTCTAAACCACCCCCCCCCGTTTTTACATCCGGATCTACCCCGACCTCTTCAAGACCTAACCTAGCTGTAAAAATTAATGAAAATAGAGAAAAAAGAACAATCAAAGATTTTGGAGTGTACATAAGTGAAAAACCGATAACATTTACTCAAAGGCAAGTTCAATGTGTTTTTCTTTATACTTTAATAGATTTGTTGATTAAATTACTCAATATAAATTTACTTGATCTTGATTTTAATGTTATAGATGACTATTGGAGGCATGTCCGATACTATTATAGGAGCGAAATTGATGACATCAAATGCTAGATCAATTACAAAGTAAACTGTTCAAAATGTTGGGCGAACTACAGGACAAACTATTCAAAATACAAAAAAGACCAAGTTCAACGATTATATCAACTCGTTGGATATGTAGACTTATTTTTTTTGTGATTTTTTTGAAACAATAATTTAGGATCCATAAAATCATTTCATTTATTTTTTTCTTTCTCTTAGCTAGTCATAATAATCGGGATCATAATTATGAAAACCTAATTATCTATTTGTTTTCATAACAATAATAGATTAAAAAAGTTAGGTAGCTATCAATTACAATATACGATAAGTTAATGAGCTCTTTAGATAATTATTAATGCAATCACAATTAATTAAATTCAAAGATTAATTAATTAGTTCGGAGAAGAAAAAAAGATACTCAAATCATTAGAAATAATATCAAGATTAAACTAGTGTCTCACAATCTTTTGCAAATTGAAATTAAAATTGAACTCTCTTAAATTAAATTGATAAAATTAGCTAGAAATTGTATGAAATATAAAACCCTAAATTATGTTTGCATATGCATATAGAGATTATTCATCCGATCCATACAAAACTCAATTAAAAAATGGTTATGTACTTACACATGGTAATGCAATTATATCATAGCGTTCTACGAAGTAAACTATAGATGCTACATCTTCAAACCGTACGTAAATATTAGTAATTCATAAGATAGGTTGAGAATGTGTTTTGCTAGTATTAATGACCTATCATATCCGAGAGACATATGATTTATTCACTAGCAAAGAAAGTTACAACAATATTATATAAAGATAATACCGCTTGTATAACTCAATCAAATGAAAGGATATATCATAGCAATAGTCCGATAGATTTGTTCACTAAGCATTACCTATCATAATTTTTGAAAACATAATTTACAAGATTAGAATGCATTATCTTAAAAATCTTAAATAAAGATTTCAACAAGGGGAGTCCGATATGAGGATTATTATATATAAGGAATATTGTATTCTTTTTTTGTTCATTAAGGCATTACTTACCATAACTTTTGAAAAAATAATTCGCAAGATTAGAATACATTGTCTTAGAAATCTTAAATAAAAATTTCAACAAGGGGAGTCCGATATAGGATGATTATGTATAAGGAATATTATACTTTTTTTTCTTCATTTGGATTTTTCTCACTCGATTTTTCCTAGTAAGGTTTTAATTGTTATGAAATAATAAATATTCATAATCATTCTTATTCTCACTACTAATGATATTGTTTAATGAGATTTAATTCACCATTATCATGCATGATGACACAAGAATTGAAAAGTTAGGTGTAACTTTTCATGAACTTTTTATAATCCTTTTTAATTTTCTTCTTAATCTTAAAGTTATAAATAGAGTTGATTATTCATTAGTTGAAGATGTTTTTTTTGTGGAGATTAAAAAAATTATTTAAAATTATTATCATTTATATTCATTTTATTTTATAATGAAATCATTTCTTCAACGTTTTTCTTTTCAATTCTATTATTAATACGTCTATTATAACATCAAATACATTTTAAGAATTTTTTAAGAAAATATAAGAAGACATTTTATTTTTTAAAACAAAAAAAATAATTGAAAACTATACTTATTGGTCTAAAAAAATATTATACAACTCAATGATCAGTAATTCAAAAATGAATTTATCATAGTTTTTCGAGAGAGAGAGCGAGGATAAACATCCGCCATTTATCAATTAAAAAAAAAAAAAACCAACGGACGGAAATGTGATTTTTCTAGCCTTTCCCAGTAAATAAATGACATAGCAACTTCTTGAATAATGATAGAGCATTTAATGCTCTTAAAGGAAGCGAAAGGTGGGCGTTTCTCCACCTCCTTGAATAATTATAGAGCATTTAATGCTCTGAAAGGAGGTGGAAGGTGTAGATTTCTCCACCTCTTTGAATAATGATAGAGCATTTAATGCTTTTCTAATCAATACAGTCATTACTTTCCCGGTTGGAGGTTGGGTTAGAGTTTGGCTCAGAGCATCAACGTTAAATTAAGCTGATCATGTTTTTGCAGTCTTTCTACAAATTACTTCGAATTTTTTGAAGATGAAGCAGTAGGAACATTTAACGGACTGGAACAGGATGTTTTAGACATTTCACGTTGTTTTTTCCCCATTTCAATCCAAATAGTTTATTTTTTTATTACGTTTTAGTCATGATTCGTATTTTTTATTGTTAATGTAATTCAACTCTTCAATAAGTTAATATATTTCAACAGAAATTATATATATATATATATATATATATATGCCATAAGGATTGATTCGTTGAATTATAAAGATATATTGCATTATATGACAGATGTATTGCTTTTTTTTAATAAAAAAAACACTACGGAAGCACATGGCCTTCTTGGTGACAAGTTCAATAATATTTAGCAGCTCACTCACTCTCTCTCTCTCTCTCTCTCTCTCTCTCTCTCTCTCTCTCTCTATATATATATATATATATATATATATATATATATATATATTCTTCGACACTTGTTTTGGATAGAGAAGATAAAACCTAGAATGAAACTCATCATTTTACTTTGAACATTTGGATAAGTATTAAAGCCTGATTTTTGTATTATGTTTTATAGAACCAAAAACATATCGAAAGAAGAAAGAATTTTAAATAGAAAAGGAAAAGATGTGTGAATCTATTTTCTTTTTCTAAAAATTTATAATGTGTTTTAAAAAATTTGAAACTTTCAGAAACATCGAGAAAAGTATATCTGAAAGATGACCAAAATAATTCCATCAATGAATAAACCATATGAAAGTTGTTATAGATGTAAAATTTTTATTAAAGAAAAGCCATGAATGACTTCCCTTATCATTTTAGAAGAAAATAGTATACTTTCGAATGAGGATTAAAACCTAATTTTTGTATTTTGTTTCATAGAACCAAAAACATACTCAAGGAAGAAAGAATTTTGAACAAAAAAGAAAAAGATATGTAAATCTATTTTTTTTCTATAAATTTGTAGTGTGTTTTAAAAAGTTTGAAACTTTCAGAAACAGCACGAGAAAGTATATCTGAAAAAGGACCAAAATAATTTCACTAATGAATGAATCATATGGGAGTTGTTATAGAGGTAAATTTTTTAACAAAGAAGAAAAGCCATGAATGACTTCTCTTACGATTTTGAAGGAATATATATATATATATATATATATATATATATATATATATATATATATAGAGAGAGAGAGAGAGAGAGAGAGAGAGAGAGAGAGAGAGAGAGAGAGTGATGCGTGGATTGTTTTTTTTTTAATTAAAAAAAAAAAAACACTACGTAAGCACAAGGCCTTCTTGGTGACAGGTTCGATAATATTTATCAGCTATCTTCTGGAAACAGAGGCAAAGTTCTTTGGGTTTTGAGATCATGGCCATATGATCAGCTCCTGCTATGAACTTTACATCTTTAGTTGGGCTCCTCTCGATGAACCATTCCTGGAAATCTTTCTTCAGCAACTCATCAGCTTCACAAACAATAAAAACCCTCTTGACTGACCCGAATTTCTCTTCTGTCAGTAGAGATTCATTTGCCAAGTCCATCAAAAAAACCGACCGGGTCTTACCAGCATTTTTGCTAATTCCAAATCCTGCATTTAATATATAATTTAGCATATATACCACGAACAAGACAGTACAAATTCTAAGCTTGGCCTAATGTAAATATTTTGAAGACTCTCACCTCAGTTGGGCAGTTCTGATAGAGTTTGTTTGCAAGACACATTGGGCCAAATATACCTGAAATAGGTAGGTTTTCTGGTCCATTGTCAAATGATAACTGGAAATCCAACTGAGACTCGACTGAGGTTCTGTTGAAGAACTGACCTCCAAAAAATAACCCAAATTAAGTTAAAATCAAACGCAACTCAATATCAATTCTAGCTCAATAAAACTAATCTTCTTTCATTTCCCAAAAGGGGTAAGAAATATTTGTACCTCTTGTAGAAGAATTGCTGGTGGGGAGACGTGATTTGGCATGAAGGCTGTGACATAAACTGCTACCAAGATCTTCTTCGGAAAGATCTCCATGGCCAGAGAAATGCCATAGCCACCAAAACTGTGACCCACTAAAATTACCTTCTCATCTTCAGGTAAAGTGGCCATGAAATCCATCAATGGCAGCACATAGTTAGAAAATGAGCAAATCTCGTCAAACTTTGATGGGTTGACTCCACTAGCACCAAGGTCTAAAGCAGTGACACGGTGACCAGCTGATTTGAGGAGGGCGACAATCTTGTACCAGGACCATGCTCCATGACCTAGTCCATGAACTAAAACAAAGTGCTTGGCATTCTCCATGTTCCTACTTAGGCTAGAATGCTATCAAAGCTCTTTGAAACAAATTCAGGTGTCTCTCCTTGCAATAATAAAAATTCAATTGTGCCGCCCTGCACCTATGACTTATTGCAACTAGGGAGTTGGGACATATAAATTAATTTCAGGCTGGCATGATTGACAGACTGGCCGAAGCAACAAATGCATGTGAGGAGGGGATTGGTTTGGAATGGAGTCGGTTTATATACGTGTGTATATAAGCAACAAATGCATGTGAGGAGGGGATTGGTTTAGAATGGAGACGGTTTATATATATAATTTAATTAATTATATATGTAGATATAACATTAATTATTTATTATTTATTTTTTTATGTTTTAAAATCTGTATTTTTAAATAAAATAATTTAATCAATATTTTGAAAGAACATCTTAATTATTCAAATATAAATTTTTATACTAATATTATAAATTATTTGTTAATAAGTATATATAAATCAAACAAGTTCGTTCAATATATAGATTTGATTTACATTAATATCCAAAAACAAAACATTTAATCGCATAACATCATACAAATCGTTAATCATGTGTATATAATGATTGTCTAACCGCAGATTAACACGGATATCTAACTAGTAAGCTCTAAGAGAAAAAGCTTTCAATACAAAATCTAAGAGTACGATTATACAAAGGTCTCATAACAAGAGATCCAAACAACTTGAATGAGCAACTAAGAGATAAGTAACTCTTAGCAAAAGTAAATAAGCCTAAGAAGCGAGTCAATCCACGTATTATTAACCTCTCGGTAAATATGTGAAATTTGAACAAGTCAAAACTTCGAATTAGGTTGAATAGTGAAAACTAACCGATTATAATAACCTTGGTTGTTCTTTTGACAAGTCAATGCTATAGTTATAACTCAATAGTTTAATGAAACACCTCTCGTTATGCTTTTGTGGTAATCTTCTACTCCAAGTAGGTACTTAAAACTCGCCGATATATTCGGATTATGAAGTGACCTATCGGAAAATAAGGCCTCTATTTTTGTACTCGCTAGCACCAATGTCATTAATTCCTACTCATACGTACATAAAGATAAATTTTTTCCTTGTAGACTAGTGCTAAAGTAGACTATAGGTCGCTAATTATGCATAAGAACTACAACAATACCCATCCTCGATGCATCATAGTCCGCCACAAATAGAAGTGTTGAAATCCGGCAATGCCGTAACTAGTGCTCGAGTCATTGCCTTCTTAATTTGTTGGAAGGCATGTTCGGCTTCTTAATTCCAAAAAAAAAAAAAAGCATTCTTCTGAGCGAGGCTTGTTAAGGGTGGAGTAATACCTCTATAAGCGACGAATGAATCTCTTGTAATATCCGATTAACCCCAAGAATACCCTCAATTCCTTGACATTCCATGGTGTGGGTCAACTTCTCATTGCCTCAATCTTTACTAGATCAATCATAACTCCTTTTTCATTTATAATGTGCCTTAAGTAGTGAATTTTTCGTTAAGCAAAATGGCATTTTTCTTTCTTAACAAAAAGCCGATTGGTTCTTAAAATCAAGATAACGAGCATGCACATGATGCAAGTGTTCGTTTCCATCCTTGTTGTATATCAAAATATCATCAAAAAACACCGTAACAAGTTTATGCGGATATGGTCGGAATATAGCATTTATAAGAGCTTGAAAAGTCGAAGGGCTATTGGAGATATCAAAAGGCATCACCGGGAACTTGTAGTGGTTATGGTGTGTTTGAAAAGTCTTCTTGGCTATATCCTCGAGATGCATCTATATCCGATGATAACCGAGCACGAGTCTAGTTTAGTAAACCAAGTTGCCCCTTTTAATTCATCTAGCAACTTTTCAATCATGAAAATGAGGAATTTGTCTTTTATAGTGAGTTGATTGAGGGCTTGGTAATCCATACAAAATCACCATAAGCTATTGCTTTTCTTGACCGATAATACTTGGGAAGAATAAGGATTGTTACCGAGATGAATAAGTCCTTGTTTCAACATCTCGGAGACAAACTTCGAATTTCGTGTTTTTAAAAATAGGGATAGCCGAATGGCCAAACACTAACCGATTGACTCCTTTATTGCAAAAGAATTCGATGGTCCTATATTCAATAAGGAGATAAATGGTCAAGCCTCGCGAAAATCCTGTAGGAACTCGCTATTGGACAAGCTACCATTGATCGTGCTCATTAGTTTCCTCATGAGAGATCGTGGATATCTACAAGTAAAGTACCCCACCCCCGTGAGTGTCGTAAGGCCCGATGCATAGCCTTAGTCCTCACTAACTATGCATCAAGGGTTTTGAGTTCTTTTAAAATCAACCTCCTTAAACCCCGCAATAAATTTCATCTCCATGCTTTAAAAATTCCACAGTATAGGTCCTAATGTTTGAAGCCAATCGCCCCTAAAACTAAACCACAACCCTCTAATGGCAGCAAAAAAAAAAAAATCAATACGGAACACAAAATTCACAAGTACCAAAGGTACTCGCTAATATAGATCCACACTATTGAGCTTTTGCCTAGTGGCTATCATCACCTTTAATGGCAAGCCTTGTTGAATTTGAAGACCAGCGAGGTTTGCCACCCATTTCTATAAGAAATTATAGATGGATCCAAAGTCAATAAGGATTGTAATAAGATTACCCATGATTCTTGTACCTACCCATATGGTTTGAGGAGTGAGTACTCTAGTAAGGGCATGGATGAAGATTTTTGACACCTTCTATCCTTCAATGAAGAAGTTTTCAAATGGTATTTCTAGTAGAATCTCGACTCCTTACTCTAGTTTATTGAAAAAAATATCTTGCAAGCATGACCCACCACATAAGCTTTATCACGGTGATAGCACAACCCTTATAGTCGTCGTTATCGTAGTTCCATGAGAGTGAAACAATTAAAGTTGAAAGATGAAATGAGGATGTTTGGTTACTAAATTCGTCAACCTTTGTCCATAATGGACTCTCCTTATGAGTTGCTTCAATGGGCCTTAGTTCAATAGACCACTTGAACAAGGGACCAGGCAGAGTCTTTTGGGCCTTAATACCTCAACTTTTAAATATTTTAGCCAGCCTAATCATCTCATTAAGAGTAAAGGCTACTGGGCTTGAACATTAGCCCTCGACTACTCTTTTAGTCCACTAAAAGGACCTCAAACTTCTATTCATCGGTTAGAGTTTAGGCCTTAACAAGCAATTCATCAAAGTGGTTTTGGTACTCTTGAACCATATTAGTCCGTTTAAGTTTGCACAAATCAGCAAATGAATTTTCATAAGAGGACATACCAAAAATTTTCATAAGCCTCTCCTTTAATTTATACTATGTAAGTAGCGGGTGTAAATTCTTTTGGCACTCGGACCTACGATTAGGCATCTCCTTCAAGATGGTAGGTTGACAAGTGCACATATTCTTCTTTAGTAGTGCTCCGAAAATCAAAAAAATTTTCAACTCGACTAATCTAGAGTGTGGGATTGTCGATCCTACTATAATGAGAAAAGTCCAATTTGACCAATTTGGGAGCAAAATTCCCATTGACCTCATTGTTATCGAAGAGCCTTCATACCAAACTCGGTTGATTGGTGGAGGACTTCTTTCTAACCTAAAATGCTTAGAACATTTCAGTCATCTATCTACTAAGACTTTCAAGCTAGTGCTTCGAGGCCCGAAGGAACCATTGATCGTTAGACTCGTCGGTCATGTATGCCTTTGATACCAAATTATTATGTCCCCAATTGCCAACAAGAATTATGCCTTGACCTCGTGTTTTTTGCCTTCCATGAGCTATTTTGAAAGGACAAAGCGAGAGATAATAGAAGGTAGTTTTATAAAAGTAAAGTAATTTGATAAATTCTTCGTTCTTGATTAACTTCAGATCCTACCTTTTATAGGCTCAATTACAATTGTAAAACAGAATACCGAAAATAATAACATGACTTGAAGACTTATTCCTAAGAAAGTAAAATAAGAAACAAACTCTCAACGGACTCTCCGATATCTCCCAACTGGACCTAAACATCGCCTACCCTTTTGAAAAAAAGACTTAGTCTAAAGGACATTCAAGATATTCCTAGAACTCGGATCGTAACATGTTATTATTATTGTGTTTTCAATATCGAGACTCTTTTAAGATCCTTTAGCATATTTGGTGGGACTAAATACTTATTCCTCACCTTAGGAATTGTCATGGGAAGTAATCTTGCAAACCTCTAAAATTCCATCATATGATAATGGCGATGATTTTTTATTACAAAATGATAATGATTTTTTTATTATAAATTCTTGACAAATATTAAGTTTATTAAGTAATAATATTATGTTAGTGTAAGTGCCTAAGATCTAATCATGTTTGGATAAGCTTGAGTTAATGTATCATTGCATTATTTATTTTAATAATAATAAAAAATTCATCCTATTAATTCTTATATTTTATGGTTCTAAATTTAGTAGAATTAGATAGAAGTCTTTATAATATGCATTTACAATAGTGATTAATTGAAAGATGTGAGACAAACACTAATACATATAAATGATATCATTAAACATCTTAAGTTGTAGCATTGTAAAGAATGAACATTGACTATATACGGATAGACTTGTGAGTGTTATGCTCAGAGTTATATGATAACGAGTAAAAGATCTCACACTTATTGACATGGTGATGCCAAAGCAAGCACTTAGGTGATTTATATTAGAGAACATATCACCGGACTTGACTCGTCATGAGAACCCACTTGGTTTTAATCTATGAGAATCTCATACGAGTGGGTATAAATGGTCTTTAGAATTGAAGTCATCACGGTTGTCTCATTAGAGGACTTATGCACTTTGACAGATCGTTTTAATTAACCCATTAAAGTGGTTGCACATGGGTGATTCGTTGGGTACAGTAGGAATATAATAGAGGTAAGTATATGATTAAGATATGACATCTCATTCCTTATATGCTAAAGGAGTTATTGGTTTACACTTCGATAAATGTTTACTTAAGAAATCTATGGCC